AGGTAGAATTGGTCTGATGTAAACAACGATGATTGAATTAATGATTCCCACTGGACCTTGGGACGATCTTAAGCCTAAAAATTTGCCAAAGTTTGATTTTGAGGTTTTACGTTACCTATTAAAACTGAATTAGTACACGCATACCAAAAATGTATTACAATGTTAGTTGCATTTTCTATCATCCTCCACAGCGAATACCCAACCGATGGAAACTAACGGTTTAACATTGGCTCACTACTTTTTTAGCCTATTGGTCCCAAGTACATCTATAAGCGATTTATGTTTGTTGATTTAATGTATGAAGTGGGACAAAACGCCGACAGACAGATACAACATCAAAGGTCGCTATGGGAAAAATGAGCCTAGTGAATTTGCTTAAATTTGTTAGAACTCCTTCTTATTGCTAGTTAAAATAAATGCAAATTTGCTTACCTTACTTAAAATTAGTGCATCAAATGCATATTGGATAAAAAGTGAACTAAAACTGATAGCACGATAAAATAGTACGGTTGTAAGCGTAGATTAATTAGTGCGTTGATGTTGCAGAAAATAAATTCTTAAAACTATTTAAACCTAGAATCACTTATTATGTAGCTGCTGCCCGGGGACATTCACAAATACCTGAAACTTTACAAAAAACCTAACCTATTTTTTTTAATAGTTATGCGTAGCCTAACATAAGAATCTAATTTACAGCAACCCCCATCATCGATTGAACAACTAAACACAAAAAGGGACGCTAAACGTCTCCTTATACATAAACCATTAAACTTCTAGTAAACTTACCTAGATGCTGGACGAATTTATGCTGTTGCTGTTTACGAATAGTCTAAAATTACTATGAACAAAAAGAAAACAGAAACTACTATACACTTCAATTTTCGTTCGTCATGGATTTTTTACGTTATCACTGGAAATATAACGTTTCGTTGCAATCGCAACAGGTAGTTTAAAAAAAAACTCCTGAAAGAAATCAGAAGCAATCGAACACTTTATAACTATAGCTTGAAATACCTATACACATATAAGATATAAACATTACAAATATATCACGCTTGTTTCTTTAGTCAGCCCATGGTTTTACAATCACTATGTATAGGTATCATCCCATTCAGGGAACACTGCTGGCGAAAATATTGACTCAATTCCAACATTCTTTAAAAAATAAAGTGTCCGAAGTATGAATCACCATTTTTCGCTGTGAAAAATATTATTAATTTTTTCAGACAAAACAGTTTTATTAATTGATTTAATAATTCCATTTCAATAAAACATGAATTCAAATAAACAAATAAAACGTACTTATAATAAACGAATAAAATAAGATTATACAGTGATTTCTATATTACGTAGCTTCGAAAACCCTATGCAAAATTGGTTGTTCGAACGTTTGAATCTTGGTAGCCCCTAGGAGTGTCTAGTATAAGAGAGGAGCGGACTGGCTGGTTTTGAGCCAAACGAACTGTCAAAGCCCAAACCAATCGAACAGCGTCTATCTTGATTGCATTGGCAGTGTTGCTAGAAATCACCTAGGCATAAGTTGCTAAGGCAGTTTGTTTTGAATCCGCTCCTCTCTTATGCTAGACCCTCTCTAGTAGCCCCTAGTTAAGGTTCTACAAAGGGTAAATAATTAGTCTACTTCTTCTTTTTGAAATATTTTTCCATCACGAACCCCTCATTTCTAAATGTATTGGTAAAATTCATTGGAAGTGCATGTCAACACGCCAAAACTGTCCATGTTTCATAAATATCAACTGGTATCGTGAGGAAAGTTTAACCGTCTCTTTTCTTCCTTTTTTCACTTAAATTTGACGCTTCGTAAATAAATTATAATGTTCGAAAAGCCCACTGTTGGATCATTTTCAAGAAAGTTTCCGTCGAAATTGATTCCTTATCTGTCAGAAATAAGTCTGCTGGAATAGTAGGTTTATTTGAAAATTTTCCATCTGTCAAATTTAAGTGAAAATTCACCAAATGGAACACAACCTTAATACCAATATATATATACGGATATAAGGCTGTCCACGAGACAGTTGCGATCAGCTGAGTTTTTTGTTTACTAAGAACTTTTGACCGATCACAGTAGAACCATAGAGGTAACTCTAATACTAGTAGGTCTCGAAGAAACGTGCTCAACTTTTTGGCTCAGCTCTGGTACTATCTTCGGTCACAAGCTAATCGATGCACCCCTCGAAACATTGACTAGAATGGGGTACGTTAATCGATTTGCTTGGGACCAATAGGCTAGTCAAGTAGTGAGCCAATCTAAAAACGTTAGTTTCCACCGGTTGGTAGAACTGAACATTGCATTAGGTCCTAAGTAACATTGATCGATTCTCTTCGTGGACGTTTTCTTTCGTGTAATGTAATTCTTGGATGTAATAATAAAATTTATTTTTTGCCGTAAGTTTCCGTCGTACTAGATGCTAGATAAAAACTTCTTTTATCGATCTGTGTGCTGAAAATACCTGGGAATGTCTTTACATGGCCGTGACCGTCAATATTACTTAGGACCTAATGCAATGTTCAGCTTGAATGAATTTCTGCTTTGTTTATGTTTACATTCTGCACCATTAAAACCAGATTACTCACACATTCTAGATTTATAGCTGTCAGTGGAACTGAGAAACGTCTCTTGGATCAACTTATATATAGCTTATATCTCGCGTAAAATTTGAAAAGGGCCTATCCTCGTTGATCGATTCTCTTCATCAACTTTCTCTTTGGTTTACCACGGCAACATAAACGAATTTCTCGCTAAGCTCGCAGCACAGTTCGGCAGAAGATGATGTTGGCTTGCGCCTGAAACAACACAGTGAATGGGAAATTCATTTGCAGTCGGGTTATTCGCGAAAGAGAAAATCGATGAAGAGAATTGATCAACAATGATAGGCACTTTTCTCGTGTTGCGCGAGATATTATCCTGCGGTACACACTTTGATTTTTTGCTGAGATTGGGACCGCCGAGCAGACCCTACTTGACTTTAAATGATCTTTATATCTTGTATTTGTTTGGTTAACATGTATGGATTATCAAGTGACACAGATACGTCTTTTCAACTTTAGTACATTTGAGATTTTAATTATTAATTACAGTTCCTAGTCCTATCAGGCCTGTTTTAGAGAATGACCACCTTGGTAGGATTGGTTTGTTTTGAATTCGAAAAGAAGACTACTTATAACTACTATTTACAACTACAACTAACCTGTAACTACTGTATAAATCTTATCTACTATATACAAATTGCTTATCAAAGCATGTTCTGGTGTATTGCATTTCTGCACAAACCTAGTCTTAATGTCATCAATTTTGAAATCTAATTTTGGAACGTTCACCTCTTGATGGAGGTCTAACATTCTTGTGCCAAAGGGACGATCGAGGATCATCCTCAGCACTCTGTTCTGAGCGACCTGGATTTTGTTCCTGTGAGTCTGTGCACATGATTCCCACACCGGAGATGCATAGAGCATCGCAGGTGCTATGATTTGTTTGTAGACAGCCAGTTTGTTCACCTTGAGAGGCGAGATCTGCGGCAAATCAGTGGATACAGACACCTAAACAAGGTGGAACACTTGACTACGATTTTCCACATGCGAGCGGAATAGGAGCATTTCGTCAAACAACATCCCGAGATAGGTTACTTCGGCGGACCACTCAACCCTTGTGCCATCCATGATTACAGTACAAGAGGGAGCTGGTTTTAGTTGAACAGGCCCTGCATTTATTTTTACTGAGATCTTGGCAAAATTCCCGTTTGCTAGCTGAATCTCGACAAGTTTTTTTTACTGAGATCCAGCAATATAAAATGTCAAGCTTATCGGTGGTGCCCATCTCGGCAAAAAAATCTAAGTGTATGTTTACTACAATGACCTAAATACAAAAAGAAATTTCCATTTCAATATCTTCACAATTCGAAGGTAAATAGTTTTCCCTGCATTTTGATACAACTACAGAGTTTATTTTGTCGTGGGATATTGAACATACATTATTTATCGATATTAGTCATACAAAATGATTGATTAATATTCCGTACATGTGGAAAGTGTAAAAGTCAACTCACATATTTAGTGCAAAAAGACAATTTAATATTAGCCTCAAGCCTCAAGGGGGATGGGTTTGGACCAGTGAATGGAAATAAAAGTTGTTTTACTATTATTAGCTGAACGTCAGATCTTCACCAATACAACTGCCTGGAATCAGTATTTATAATGAACTACTCATTCATTAGGAATCCCCGCGCCCAAAACCACAAGTAAAATCCATCAAAAATAATTGAATAGGCGAACAACAACGTCGGGACGCCTTTTTATGGCTGATTAGTTCCAAATAAACCGCCGCGCCCCATCTACCACAGTCTCTCTCTCTCCGTAACAGCTTCCCCGAATTGGAACAACTTTTATGCGGGTACGTTATATTCATTAGCAGCCCTTAATGTCAGCCGATGCTCTTTCCTCACCCCCATCAATCCATCCATCCATGTCATTAGGAAAGACAATCCTGCCAAGTTCCGGACCAAGTTCGGAGAACACGCCTCGGCAGCACGCGGCACTGCGACGGGATGGTCGGAGTGAAATAAATATGGTTTTTATGGCATTAATCAAACATCATTATCGCGCGTATCTGCTTCTTTCCCGTTTCGTGCTGCAAGTGGTGTTTTTCGCAGTTCTTCCACCAGTGCGCCGTGTTCCGAATCGGATCCCGAGGCCTTGGGTCTATGGATAACACCCAACGCCTTTGGATGGCGAAACGTCGCGGTTTGCGTGTTATCACAAATGGCGTACGTGAGATGCGACCACTCTGCAGCGGTTAACGGCAAGAGACGACACGAGTGCAGATTACAGACATCAGTCTGTTTCATTCACTCCATTGACGCAGTATGCGGAATGAGCGGAAAGCGCGCATGCGATTGGCTAGCAGGTACAGAAATGTCTGCCGGGGTTCGTTGATTGGTCGAACAATGGCACCGGTACCGCCCCCAGTCGAGTGCAAAGTAAACATGGGTAATAATCTTACCCGTCAGTCGGAGACCGTAATTCGTTGAGTAAAGTTGTGCCTCGTTTCTGCTCCGGGTTTGGAATTTTGAATCATAGTGACATTCTGTTGAAGGTGCCTCAGCTCAGGGCTACGAGCACCCGGAGAGCACCACGGATTATGAGAGTGAAAACTTATTTATTGCCCAATTGTTACGTTTAATAATTTGATTGACAGTAAAGTGTACTTACGGGAGCGATTTGGACCAAAGTGTCACTTGAAGATTACTCGCTGATGATATGTTGTGATTTATGGGTGAACCTGAAAACTGGAAAACAACTCGTCAGTACACAATGGTGGTGAAGATGAATAGTGTATTGTAAGAGCATTACGAAACGTTACAACGATTTGGATTAATCTGTAGTGGAAAATAGTTGGTGATAATAGTGTAGAAACCGCAACCTTGAAAATGGTGTCCTATTACAATCATTTTGCTATGTACCCGAAGAACCACAGCGGCAACCTGCCGTATTCGGCGTCTTCCGGGTGGTATCCGGGAAACTACCAGCATCAGCCGCCGCATCCGCAGTTCATCGGTGATGGAGAATCCTCACCCCAACCGATGTACTATCCGCATCCGCATGTATTCCATCAGTCCAGCCCGGACTGGACGGGGCATGAGAATTTTTCTACGCCACCACAAGCGACACTGCTACCGCATGGACCAAGTCCTGGTGGGCTGCACCTCGGACAGACTACGCCGGGCGCCAATAACAATAACAATGCCAGCGAACATTGCCCGGATGGACTGCACAGTATACCGTCGCCGCCGATTACCGTCTCCGGCAGCGATATGTCCAGTCCGGGAGCGCCGAATGGATCCTCGTCGCCGCAGATAGCTTCCCGTCCGACGCCGGTCAAAAGCCCCTTCGAGTGGATGAAGAAGCAATCCTACCAATCGCAACCGAATCCAGGTGAGTTTTCAGCTTGGTTGAGTTGTAGTTATACGGCATGCAGATTTTTTCTGATTTTGGTGTGTATGCTTGGGAGGGGTGAAATGCATGTTTTTTTTTAAGATCTTCTATTTTGTTGACATCTATTTCAACTGCTTTACAAGTTCAGGAAGATTTACAAACCGCTTAAAATGACGCGGAACAGATTTGATGGAGGTGCAAGTAATCGTGCATTTGGATAGAAGCATGCGCGTCAACTATCATGCGTTTCCTTTGTTCATTTCCCCATACAAATAATTTGCTTCAGAAGGATTTTACACAGAAGATAGGTAGCTTTGTGTTGGGATGATAATTTTGCTCTTTGACAATGACGAGCTAAGGGATGTGTTGTGGTAATTACCTATTTTGCCTGTGCGGCATAAAAGTCCACTTAGCATTTTTATCGAAAATGAGTTATACTTTGGAATCTATTGACAAGTACCATCACTGTACGATAAGTTTCCTACTTTGTTCAGAAGAAGTCGCGAAAAATACCAAAACTATGCTGTTTTATCCATAAGAGCGCATGGAGAAAAAATCATCCACTTTTCTCAGCTTGCTATTTTAACGAATGGGACAAGTATGCTGAAAAGGGCAGTATTTTGCTTAACAATACATGAAAATTGTAGATCAATCTGTAAAAAGTAGGTCAAATTTGGATACTACCCTCTGCCACAATAAGCGTGCAAGGAGCATTCATTTTCTACTCGCTCTTAGAGCAATCCACCCTTGAATGCAAACAATGCGTTCTATAATGCAATCATATAATTGCATTCGGCATAGGAAAAGTGCGTGATGTGGGGGTCTATAAACTCAGTTTTTTTTGCGTTACATAATATTTGAACCGGCCCTAATCAATCTTCTTCATACACTGAAAAAAAAAAACCACCAGTCTTATCGAAATGTTTAAACACTTGATTTTATTAAATTTGCTATCACATTTATTTAAAGTGTATTTCACCTTTATTCAATGTGTTATACACGTTGATTTCTAGTGTTTCAAACTTTGAAATGTTGAAAAATTTTCACTATCAGTTCAAGTGTATTGCGCATTGAATCACACTACTGTTCAAAACAGATGAATTTAAAGTGTTTTGCATTTCAATGCGATGTGAATTGCCAGCCCCCTATATGAAAACAACTGTGGTCCAGTGAGATCGAACGAAGACAACGGTAGCAGCACACACGAACAGTTCTCAGGATCGAATTCCAAATCTGATGCATTAAAAAGGCATGTGTATAAGCACACACACTCAAACAACACTAATTTAACGGCCACAGTACAAAAAAGTAATGGCAATTTTGTCCATAAAACATTATTAGGGTTAACGCACCAATAGTTGAGGTACGTTCCGTGCAATGTATTCCTATAGTGGCTTATGGAGACCCCACAAGCCACTAAAGGAACATATTACTCTAACGTACCTCCACTATTGATGCATTTACCCTACCAAATGATTACCGTATTGCTCTCGCACCACTAATCAAAAGTCACGTGTGAGTTGCAATGCGAAGTTACACTTTCGAAGCAATAGAAGAAGTGCTGCCAGCCTAAACTTTGCATCGGATTTCAGTTGAATGGACAATACTCGAGGGGTTCTTACCAACATTGATTACCGGTGAGTGCCTATGAAATTACCATGAATTACTGTGATTATTATACAACTAATGAAAAGTACTTTGTAGCTTTTGGTTCTCGAATGAAATTTTTCTATAAGTAGAAGTTAATGCGTGTTTTCTACTGTAAAAACTTTCAGCTTGATGGGGTGTGCCATTGAGTTTAAAAAAAATCACGAATTAAAATCATTCCACAACAAAGGTAAACCCGGGAAATCGCTCTATCTCTAACAGCAAACGTCAGATTGGTATGATTTTGTTTCTATAAGTAGAAGTTAATGCGGGCTTTCTACTAAAAAATCTTCAGCTAGATGGAGTGTGCCATTGATTTAAAAAAATATAGGAATTAAAATTATTCCAAAACAAAGGGGAATGACAACAACACACGCTATGGCTTCATCATTGCGTCAAATAAAAAAAAAACGTTCAAAGAAAAACCGAAATTAGAAAGTTTCACTGTCAATCGTTTATTCTCGTTATACTGGGATTCGAGTGTAGTTTTTGTTTTGAACCATCAAATTGTGATTCTTTATGTAACAAAAGTAATCTAAGGTAATAAAAGTAATCTAAAAGTAACGACATAATGTTCATAATTGCATAATAACCCAAGTTTCATGGTCATTTGATAAACACTCATCGGGTAATCAGTGATGATAGAAGCCCCTAAAAATACTTTAGTATGAACTGCTGGACGAACTGTACATTTTTGAACTTAAATATTCACGGAGTTACTTTTGGATTATTTTCATGATTATCGAATGATTTGCGAAACAGCATAAGTTACTGAAGTTATTCATACATTATTAATGATTATTTTGATTACTTTTTGATTACCCAGTAATTCAAAATTAAATGATAATTTCGAAAAAAAATAGTAATTTTTGATTACCGATCATCATCCATGCTTGGTCAAAACCCCTCGACAAAACTGTAATGGGTAGCGTGGCGGTGCTGTCTATATCAACTTATTGAAATTAATCATTTTGTCAAGCTTCTGCATTCATGTTCCATCAGATGTCACAGCTGTTGTTTGCGTTGACATCTATCGGAAACTAGACACAATCTGTTTTCTTATAATTGTTCACAGAGGACACTGCAGTGCAAAACATGTCTGGTACCTCTATATATGCATTTAGATTATTATTCGAAGTCCCTCCTTTTTTACACATTCTGCACGCAAAATAGCTCACCCCTCACAGAATTTCCCGCCGAATTTTATGTATGGGGCGGGGCATAAAGTATCTTTTGCGCAGAATATGTAAAAAAGGAGGGACTTCAAATGTTAAAGCAAATGCATATATAGAGGAACCAGACTTGTTTTGTAGTGTCAGGTACTCTATTTTGTAATCTGTGAAAGGGAAATCACAATTCGAGTGTCAACAAAATACATGGCATGTTGAGAGATTGAGCTCGTGAAAGAGAATTTCTCTCTCAAATTTGAATTTTTTTGGCTCTCTGGGGACTGGTAGTAAAGCAGGTAAAATTGTATGGGGAAAAATCATTTTTATTTAATTGTAGCTTGCATAACAATAATTTCCGGGAAAAAACTGAACGACAAAGTCCCTGATTAATTTCTTTAGGTTGTCGTTCACTTTTTTTGACCTGAATATGCACCGAAAGCGAATTATTCCCACTTCTCTCCATTTCTTTATGGGGATTTTTACCACTTCCTACCAGCGGAACAGCGCCATCTCTGTGGAAAATGGTCGAACAAAATGATTAATTATTATATTAAAATAAATCATTAAATACAAGAAACAATGCACATAATTACGAATGCGACGTCTGTTTGTCTGTGTTTCAAATTGTGTATGGGAATGACCACCTTAACAGTTTTTAATTATTTTTTTAATGATTCATTTATTAATTAAGGCTCAGTTACGTAAGCTTTGTGGAGCCGTAATTCAATGTACATTAACAAAGTCTTTCTTCTTCTTAAGCTTGATTATTTGAAGCAAAACACAAGTTAACGGCAGACGGCAGTTAAAATCACATCCCAAGTAACATTGTAAGTTTTATCAAGGTTTTAAAGTATGCTACAAGTCTAAATCACGGTCTTCAGAACCCTTATAAAACCAAAATTGTTACTTGGGATGTTATATTCAAAACTATTTTCCCAAGCAACACAAAATCATATAATTATGTTGAGTAAACTGCTATACAGCCAAATTCAGTCATATAAAGGTAACATAAACTGTTATAGAACAGGCGTGTTGCTTGGATAGTAGTGTACTGGCTTCAATTGGGTTCTTTAATTTTGAAAAATGTATCGTTTTTTATACATCATCTGAAAGAGCTTCGTTTTCTGAGCACAGCGATATTTTTTTCGAATCCACACACTTTCATCTCGATTTTTAAATTATGATTTAAGGCAAAATAACAACTTCACTGTTTGACACTAAACTAATAAACTGACAGCTCGCTCCCATACAAAGTGACACCGAGGGGCGCTAATAAAGAGATTTTTGCAAATGTAATAGTACTTATTTAAAATAGTTTCAGTGTACCAAAATTGATGAAATGTTGGGTTTGGGTTCCATTTTTTATACAGATTACGAATATGCATTTACCTCAATATCCTTAAAGAACCCAATTGCTGGTTGAACGTGTGAATTCCTAAAAAAAAGAACACAATATGCAGAAGAAGGCAGCGGCAAGATTAACAGTTGTCGAAAATATCGACAATACCGTATGAAAAATTTATGTAAATTTCTGCGATATACAGCGCACACAAAATTAACGCTATATTTGGCGTAATTTTACACGACATTTCATGTAAATTTAAGCTAAATATCGCATAGATCAGCTATGTTGCAAAGAAGCTTGTATACAATTTCGTCCTTTATGCAAATATTAAACGAGGGGAGATTTTACGCGGTGGTTAAAGTTCAGAACTTTTTTCTGAGAAGGTGTTGTCTGCCTGGTGTCGATTTGATCGTAGACATAGCATCAAGAAGACTGGAAACTTTGCCAGACTCAAAGAGACAGATACAGTAGCGTTGCGCTTGAACAAAGATGGAAGCAACACATAGAAAAATGAGTAAATTCGCAAACCTCTCTCCTGAGGTTGCAATCGAGGGGCAGGCAAAAGCCTTTTACTCTGACGCAGTCAAGAGCTGTAATTGATTAATTACATTAATTGCAGCAATAACTACTTGAACTACACCTTGCGAACCGTTACTACTTTTTAACTGAGTACTGCGGACTCACTAAAGGTGCTTGTCACTTGGGAGCCAGTGTGAACTGTCAAGCGGGAGCCAAACATTCAGAAGCAGCAAATGCAGTTACTGTTCTTATCTACCGTCAAGCATTGTAATCTCATAAAAATGTTCTATACTTTTTCATAACACATTCTTAATTTTAAG